CGGCCCCGCCCTGGCGCAGCTGCGAGGGGGCTGCCCCGCCGACTCCTCGGTCGCCTTCCCGTCACAGCGGCTGCTCCCGGGTGCCTCCCGCCCCACGCGTTTCAGCTTTCGCCTGCGCCCCGTCTTCAACGCTTCTGCGCAGTTCTTGCACTGCCAGCTGAGCCGCTGTCGCCGCCTCCGGGGAGCCCGCCGGATGCCTGCTCGCCGAAAGCCTGCACCTCCGACGCTGCCCCCGCCGTCGCCGGTGCGCGGGCGCAGGGTTGGGAATCTGGGCGCCTTGGCCCATCGGAGGCTGGGCACAAGAGGCTCTGGCATCTGAGGGAGGAGCCCCTTAAGGTTTTGGAATCTGGGAACTGAGGCACTTTGGAGTCTGGGGACAGGGGTAGCTCGGAACTGGAGGGAGGCACTGGGTCTCTCAGGCTGGGGTTGGACCCCGGGAAGTCCGAGGGGATCCATGGGGCTCTGCGCAAGGTTCCTCAGGGGACAGCAGTGGGCGGGCACTGGGTTCCCTCATGGGCAGAGCTCTGACATCCCTCCAGAGCTGGGAGGCTGCTGAGGGGCCAAATTTCTGGATAGCTGAGGTTCACAGGTTAGGTGCTCAGAGAGCTGGGTTGTGTAACCTCCGTGAGGGTCTGAAATTTGGAGTTCCCGTGGATGGGCTGCTAGCTGCTTGTGTATTTTAGGCGGTGGACTCAGGGACCCTTAAGGGGCCAGATTTCCAGGGATCGAGTAGTGTGACTCCTAGTTGCAGTAGCGGGCCGGACACTTAGATCTCTTAGAAGCCCTGGGGACCATCACCTGGAAACGGGGCCCTGATATCCCCGTCTCTTGCCTCCTCCTCCTTCCAGTGTCTGCCTCCGGATGAGGCGTGCGCGGGCGCCGGCAGTGGCAGCGATGAGAGCCTAGGTGCCGACAGCCCCTACCTGCACACGCTGACGCAGCCCATCGTGGTCACGGTGCCGCGGCTGCCCCCCAGTGAGCGCGCAGTAGTCCTCCGCGGGGGTCCCTGCGGCCCAGAAGAGGAGGTGGGGAGGACATCTGGGGCCTGGACGAAATCTTAGCTTTGTACTCCCCACAGGGCCGCCCAAGGGCATCCCCGGCAGAACTGTGCGCCCGGAGCCTCCCGCGTCGGTGGTAGCGCTTGTGGTGGCCGCCTTCGTGTTGGGCGCCGCTCTGGCTGCCGGGCTCGGCCTCGTCTGCACGCACTCAGGTACCAACCTCTGCCTGGCTCACAGCCTATTCTCGCGCGTCTGGATCTGCGGTCGCCGCGATCCCAGCCAGCCGGGGCCTGACCATCCCTAGACTTGTCTCCGTTACTCCTGCAGCAGCCCCCAGGGGGCGCCCTTGGCCCGGCCCAACGCGCAGCAACCCCTACTGCTCCTCAGCCAGCCTCTCTCCTTTCCAGCGCCCGCACTCCCGGTCCCGCCCCCGAGAGCCTCGCCCAGCTGCCCCGAGTCCAGGAGGCCCCAGTGAGGCAGGTAAGTGATGGGGGAGGGAGAAGCGGGAGTGTAACGTGGGGCCAATAGGACGGCTGGAGGAGGGAGGTGATGATAATGACTTCATGGCGCCTTCTCTCCGCCAGAGTTCTAAATGTTTAACGCACATTAATGTTTATAAAAACCTTCAGGTAGATACTCTTATAATCCCCATAACAGAGATAAGAAAAAATTAACTTGCAAAAGATCACAACATTTGGTGGAGGTGGGTTTCGGTCTTAGGTAGTGGGCGACGGGCGGCCAACTGTAGGCTCAGCGTCGCAAGAAGGGGCCTCAACACCTCAGACAGGCACTAGGCAAGGGGAATTCGGGTTTCAGACCTAGCACCCACACTCACCCCGGCACACAGACTGAGGGGGCGGCCAGTGATCCGGCTGGGAAGGGGTTGACCTGCGTAGTGTCCTCTTCCCCGTTCAGCCTGAGTCGCCCCTCCCCAGGGATGGAACGCCCCCAACAGGGTCTGGAGACGCACTAGCCACGGCCTCGGACCAGGCCCGCCAGGACTGGACCGGCTGCCATTAACCTCGGACCCTATGGGACCACGATCCCTGCGTCCCGCGACCCCTCGCTCCCACCTTCTCACCTGGGCTCAAAATAAACATCTGGTCTGACTTGCCCTGTTCTGAAGTCCGTTTGGCGCGGGGATGGGGATTCCGGGCTTGAAGGGGTCCAGACTGGAGGGGTGGCGCTTTGGAGTGGGGCTCATACGCCCTTACATAGGTGCGCAGATCCGGGCCAGGGGAGACCAAGGGCAGTTTGTCCCAAACAGAAAGGGACGCCCAAGCTCACCAGCTCAAGTTTCAAATAAGCCTCATCTCCTTCCTCCACCCCTGCACCAGCCCAGCTGCCCTCTCAAAGCCAGGACTTCCCCGCTCTCCACTCCCATCGCCCGGACCCTACCCTCGCTAGGGCCTGGACCTCAGGCCTCTGCTCCAGTCTCCTCTCCGTCTAGCCTAAAGGTCCTTAAATCCCTTCTGCCCGAGCTCCTTTCTCCCGGGGCATAGGCAACGGCGGGACCATTTTACAGTTGAAGAAATTGAGGCTCCGCACGGCAGATCACTTGCTCACAAGTCAGGGCTGGCCGACCCCACAGCTCGGGCTCTTAGCTACGACTGGATAGCTGCCTTCTGGCCAGGACCCAACCCTCTTCGAGAAGTCAAGCAAAAAACAGTTAAGAGTTTCAGAAGACTTGGTCCTGGAATGGAGGGAGGGCAAGAAACCTAAGGTCACGGCTCCAGTTCACAAATGAGATAGAATGCGGACGCGGGAGGGTCTCGTCCGTCCCCGCCTGCGCTGGAGGCCAGTCTCCCCATAATCTCCCATCGAGGCATGTCCCTTTGACTCGCAAAAGCAGAGCCACGCCCCCATCTGTTTCCGCCTCCGCGAGGGGCTTTTTGGCCTCAGCGGTCCCCGTAACCCCGCCCACCACGGAAACGGCCTAGGACCTCCGACACCGCCCTCACCCGCCTCACCGGCATGAAGCCCCCGCAGCGGCGGCGAGCGGCCCCAGCTCGCTATCTAGGCGAGGTGACCGGCGCCACGGCCTGGGGCGCCCGCGAGAAACGGCAGCTGTTACGACTACTGCAGGCGCGACGGGGCCAGCCGGAGCCGGATGCCTCCGAGCTGGCCCTGGAGCTGCCGGGCCGGAGCGAGGCCGAGGTGAGAGGGGTCCAGGGAAGGGAGCAAGGCTGGAGGCGGGGCTAGGATGTATCCGGGGCTAGCGGAGGGGCGGGCCCTGGGTGAGGCGGGGGCGGGGTCTTGGGGTGGGCGGGTCGAGGACCCGTTGGGGGCGAGGCGAGGCTGAGGAACCGGATGAGCGCAGAGCAGGCGGGGCTAGTGCGAGGCTGGGTATCGTGTGCCTGCGAGAAGCTGAGGGCGGGGCGGGGGCGGGGGCGGGAAGTGGTGCGGCTGAGGGGCGGGGAGAACTGCGAGTAAGACCGAGCGGAGGCCCCAGACTGGGCGGAAGGCGCAGCGAGACTGGGCGGGGATAAGGTTGAAGCGAGAGTCAGGAAATGGGGAGGTGAATGGAGTAGTACTTAGCATGGGGGTGGGCCCTGGCCGCGGGGAGGAGCCAGAACTAGCCTGGTCCTTACCTCTGTCAGGTGACTGGTAACACCAGGGGCCTTGGCCCGATACCCCCCTGGCAGAGTCACTGTAACCCCTTAACGCCAGGTTAGCGGGAGGTTAGGGAGCAGTGGCCGGCCTGGAGCAGGCAGTGGACTGCCTAGCCCTGGGCTTCTAGAAGGTCCCACTTGGCCTCCTCCTCTCACTTCCCCAGATCCAGGATTTTCTTCGGCAGCTCAAGGGCCGAGTGGCCCGGGAGGCCATTCAGAGGGTGCATCCAGGTGGCCCACAGGGTTCCAGGCGCCGAGAAACACAAACCCCTGCCCCCATCGAGGTGAGGCAGGGCTAGGCTCCCCAGGGCCGGCCCCTGGGGAATGAGGGAGTTGGAGGGGGATAACATGGTTAGGGGAGCTCCAGAAGGAGTAGGACTTGGGGAACTCCTGAGGGTTGATCCCTACCTTATGGTTGCCCCACCCAGGTGTGGATGGATCTGGCTGAGAAGATAACAGGCCCGCTGGAGGAAGCCTTGACTGTGGCTTTCTCACAGGTATAATCCCCCAGGCAGGATGGGGGTGTCCCTGGGGGACAGGGTCAGATATATGAGTCTAAATAAGGGGGACCTGAGTCCTGGGTACATTCCTCTTGCCAGACTCCCCCTCTGTGATTCTGGACAGTCCTTAGACACCCTGAACCTCAGTGTCCAAACTTCTGTGCCATCTCCTGTATGTGGTGCCTTCCTCCCGGTGTCAGGGAGGATTTGGTGGAGGTGGAAGGCTCAGTCTCCTGCAGGGCAGAGTGGGAAGATTTCTGCTTTTCCCTCCCTGACCTCCCTGCCTGCCAGGTGCTCACCATCGCCGCCACGGAGCCCCTCAGCCTCCTGCACTCCAAGCCCCCCAAGCCCACGCAGGCTCGTGGCAAGCACTTGCTCCTCAGCACCCCTGGAGGACAGGAGGACCTGGGCCCTGAGGCCCCTGGAGGGCAGGAGGCTCCTGGCCCTGCCCCCAAGACCCAAGGCCCTGCCCCAGAGGCATCTTCTGAGTCCCTAGCTGGCCCGTGTGCTGAGGGAGACTTCAATGCGGACTTTGAGAAGATCTACAAGTACCTGTCATCCATCTCCCGCGGCTGCCCTGGCCCTGAGCTTTCCGCAGCTGGTGAGAAGGAGGGTGCTGGGACTCTGGGGTGGGGGACCCTGGTGGAAAGCCCCACCCTCCCCTTACCCATCTGGATCCATTACCAGAGTCAGCTGTGGTCCTTGACCTGCTCATGGCACTTCCCAAGGAGCTGTCCCGACTGCCCTGCGCTGCCCTGGTTGAACATATGTCGGATACGTTCCTACGCCTGACGGCCCCCCAGCCCGACCCTTCCAGTGGGAGCCTGGGATCCATTGCTGAGGATGATGGGACAGGCTCCAGGGGGCAAGAGGCGGCTGGCCAGGCCACCTCTCAGGCCCCTGGAAATGCTGGGCCCAGCAAACCAATACCCATTTGGCAGTCAGCTGGGGTCTGCCCCTTGAACCCGTTCCTGGTGCCCCTGGAGCTTCTGTGCCAGGTGGCACCCCCTGCAAGATGAGGGGGCCGGTGGGCAGAGGAGACAGCAGACATCTGTGAGCCCCCCAGCCCTCAGTCCTGCTTAGGCTGGCCTTGAGTTGCCACGAGGATCTGGTCAAAGTGGAAGGTCCCTGACAGTGTGCAGTACAGGTTGGTCGTTAAAGTGCTCACACAGCGGGGGCCTCAGAAACAGAAGCATAGTGGTATGGGGTCCAGCCATAGAATTGGCAGGGGGATGGTCAGCCAGGTGGCTGGGCTGAAACCACCATCAAATACTCCCCCGCCCCTCATCCCTTCTGATGTCCTGCATCCTGTGTTCTATAACTGTGAATAAAGTTCTGCTCAAACCCCCGTGCCCTCTTTTTCCTGTGGGTTAAAGGTGGGAGGGGGGCCCCAAATGCCAAAGAGAGAATCAGAGGTAGGAGAGCCATAGCTTGGGGCCCCAGGGACCAAGGGGAGGCATGCCAGGGAGGAGGGCGCAGTCATTACTAAAGGCTGCTGTTGCCAGGTCCAGTCCGATGCCATCTGGAGTGACCTCATTTTGGTCATGAGGGAACCCTTGGTGCTTGGAGGGTCTAGGCCTGAGCCTGACTGATGTCAGGAAAGGTTTTTTAGAGCCTGGGGCCTTTCAGCATAGAGAAAGAGGGGAGAAACCAGCAGAGAGAGGGTAGCCAGGTGAGAGGAGCCAGGCCACCAGCCAAGGAGGGTTGGGGTGGGCTGCCCATATGGCAGGAAGTTGGAGGGAGGGGAGCCAGGCCCTGAGGTGGCCTTGGGGAAGCAAGTGGGGGAGGGAGAGCTGGAGGGGCCTTAGGAGCAAAGAAGGGGAAGCAGAGCTGTGCTGAGGAGGGGGCTAGAGTCCTAGCTGCTGTCAAAGGCTCCAAATTCCCAGAGGTGCAGCTGGGTCTCCCTGCACAGGGTCATAAGGGACCCCACCAGTTGGTGAGGGCAGGTGGGGGAACCAGCTGTCCTCCCACAGCACAGCCTCCCCCAAAATCTAACCAGTCCTCTGCGAGTTGGTAGATTTTCTGTTCGCAGCGCCTGTGTGTTCACACAGCCTTCCTTTTATAGAAACACTCGTTTCTCCCCACACACATTGCACACGGCTCCCTGGGGGCTCACAATGCAGCTCCCAGGCGGGCTGTGGAGCAGAGCCAGCCCACTCCATGACCCACAGCACCAGACCCGCAGTTTCCAAAGTGCACATGTTCACGGAGGGGCGAAAGGGCCAGATCAGAGAGGTTTGGGGCTACAGGTGAGGACATGGGGCCAGGAGGCCATGCCAGTTCTTGGAGACAATCTCCAGGGCTGGCTATGAGCACCCCATTCCTGATGCTTACCAGGCTTAAGTCCATTCCACAACCCCCAGCGTCTCCCCAAGTCCAAAGGAAGAAGGGCAGCCTTGGCTGTCCCTGGCGCTAGGGGACTGAGATGACTACACATCAGCACTCCCAGAGCATGCATCTGGGTGCTTCCCAGCCCGTGGCAGATGTTAAGAGTGTGCAGAAGTCAGCCCTGGGTTCAAATTCTAGCTTGGCCAGAATCCAACTATGAGCAAGTCACAACCTGCCTGGACCCAAATCCCCTGGCCTGTAGAACAGGGATACAAACAGGGCTCACTGTCTGGGTCCTGAAGAGGGAACAGGCCATGTGCAGGAGGAGCTAACTCAGCACGCTGCTTGGCATGCAGTAAGCGCTCAATAATAGCTTTTATTATCACCATCGGCTCAGAGGCAGGGAAAAATGAGAAGGCAGGGGGAGGGCCTGTGGGGAGGAGGGCAGAAGGGATCAGAGGGAGGTGGCAGGAGGACAAATAAGAGTTGGAGGTGGTGAGGGAGGAGCGCGCTGACCTGAACTAGGGCCTGGGCTAGGGGCAGGAGGGCGCCTGCCCACGGTCTCCCCACACGGAAGGCGCCACACATCCTGGACACAGCAGCCATTGTCACTCTTCAGGCTCTGTCTCCGGGGCCAGCTGCGCAGGGCATATTGGTATGCAGGATCCACCCCGTGGGCCCAGGAGAGCCTGCCCCACAGGGCCAGAACCCAAAGAGGGGCTCAATACTAAAGAGGGGCTGGCAGCGGGGGAGTGAGGATGGCCACACGGTGGGGGAGGGAGGAAAAGGGACACGGGGGTCTCCAAATCCAGGAGCGGACATGACACTCATGCTTGGCGGCTGGCCAATAGCAGAGCCACCTACACGCTGGGGTTGGGGTGGGGAGGATTCTCTTTCCACCCAGACTT